AATAATACAGTCATAGATTCATATGAAATTTATCGCTCATGACTGGGTGCATTCAAAAAACAGCGCAATTCATTTTGCTCAGAATCACCATTAATAACAATATTTGCACAACGATAAGGCCACAATAACAACTTTCAGATCAAAAAGTCAACTATCAACAAGAAAACTTTGAAAATTTTAATAACCACACTATACATATACAAAAATGTAGATCGGAAATTATCGTCACTTACCTCAGAGAACATCAGACCAATAATCATTTGTCTGATTAAAAACAACAAAAACTTTTCTTGATTCTGAGCTTGGTTCTTTGCTAAAAAATTTCCTAATTGAAATTACTGAGCTGTTTTTATCTAAAACAAAAAATCTTGACTTTTTTTTAAAATGAATAAATTGATTCGAAAAATTTTTAATTTTTTACCCGTAATTCTGCACAAGAAAATGCCAAAGAAGTGAAATAAGAGAAGAATAAGATGATGAAGATGATGAGGAAGAAGAATAAGAAAAAAGAAAAGCTTTACTTAGTTCATTAGAAACCCACTTGAAAAACAGACAAAATTGTGGAATTGCGATTTGTGAATTCACATTTGATTCTTTCTTCCCCTTCTATATTCTCCCTCGTGTTAGTCCACTTTTTTCTTTGTTTCTCTGTATGTCTCCGGTTGCTGTAACCATCTTCGCCAACATATGGTGGTTACGTTTGTAAACGCAACTGTCCCAACGTTTGTACATACTCCCTCCATTCTTCATCCATCTCTCTTCCACACCCGCTTTGTCTGTACAACTGAACCTCATTTCCAATTCCTTCATTTCTTTAGAGAGATAAAAATTAATAATTTTTATCCTGATTTTTTCTTTTAAGTCCAATCATTTTCGTGCTTCTTTCCAAATCTGTTTGCTGCTTCAGTTATTCTGATGTGGTACTGGCAGTGTTCAGGCCGCATAAAGCCCGTTTTTCGCCCATCCGACAACGGCAAAAAACCGTAAACAATTTGCAATCAAATATGTACTTCTTTTGTTAATTTTTCTTCTGTAATTTTTGAAGATTATTCTTGTTCGTCTGAAGATGCTTCACCAACAAAATATGGTTCTACAAAGGAAAAAAAGCAAAAGAACTGCGCTTAAAACGTTGAACAATTAATTTCTTTTTTTTTACAACCATCAACGAGACTTGTAAGACTGCTGGTTCAACAACAATTATCTGACACTAACGCATTGAAAGATATTAGAATTTAATGGGGTATGTAACGTCCTGCTCAGAGGGAGCTTTCCATGCATACATAGTTTTGGAACTAGATTAGATGTAAAAACTTTGCCATCGTTCCATTTCAAGCTCAAAAACTGAAAATTGAACCGTTCCTTGGTGGTACCCTAAGGAAGCAGTTCCAAAAACAAGATAGAAAAACGACTTCTCGAAGGAAAATCATTTTGACTAATGATCTTGCCGAAAAGCCTTCCAAACAACCGGGAATTAGTGACTGAAATATTAGAAAGTACGGAGAAGGAAAAAATTAGAGATTAATGACAAAAGCTTGAAAATACATATGAGAAAATTTTTGAAAGAAAAGTTAGATTTCGCCTGAACCTTTCACTTGCATAATTTGTCCACTAGAACTGTCTGAATGTCTTTCCTAAGCATTAAAATTTATTTTTTCTTAGTTTTTGGCATAGTATGGCATCATATTTGTCTTGGCAGACCCAAGTATGATTGATTGAATTTCTTAATTAAGTCACTTGAACGTTTAACGAGAAAAAAGCAAAAAATGGACAAATTAAACTCCATTTATAGTTTTTAAATCCCATAAAAAATCCGAGCTGCTGTTAATAAAAGTATTCGTTTACATTTACCGATTTTGGAGTAAAAATCCACAGTTAATCAATGGGTTTTCAGTGCCAGTGGGTACACATTTGAGAAATACATTTTAATTTAAAGTTTTCAATACTAAAGGAGCTGTTTTTTCCGTCTTTTCCAGTCAGGCTGTTTACTTCCTGTATGCTATGTGTTTCGATCTCATTCTATACTAACAATCATCAAACGGCGAGCCGCGTGCTTAGGACGGTCGGCCGCCCGAACCAAAATTTACAAAAGCGATCCTTCAACAATAACAAACCATACAGATTCCCAAAGAATTTAAGCAAACAGTGGTAAAGGACTTAAAATTATGTCTTAAAAGAAAATAAATTTATCCTGGTATATAAACACTGGCACAATCAAACCTAACCAACATAAATGGCCTTTGACAGAGCCACCTATTTTAGAACGACGGATAATGATATGTTAAACCATTTCTTTCAATCTAAAGCAAAAACCCTTCCGTCAACAACACACCAATTCCAGCCATAATCCTACCTTATTAAATTTTTTAATAAACGCATTAACGGCCAAACACACTATTGTCACATTTTGTCATATTTTTCCGCACATTGTGTTAAAAATATGAAAAAATGTTAAAATAGTATTTGTCTTTGAAAGTACTCCGCTATGAGATGAACATGCAGTGATAAGTACAAGAGCTACCGGTAAGCTCCCACAAATCACGAATTTTCATGCGAAAAATAAGGCAGTAAAGCGTAACTTTGTGCCGCAACTACCAAATGAGTGATCAATGGCAATGAAAAGTAAGCGAATGATAACTACCAACTTAAAGAGGAACTGAAACGAGCCCTCCGGAATGGTGAAGAACGCCAGTTAGAAAACATATTTCTTAGTCCACTTACTTTGTCATTCAACACTCAGCAAGTTCAGTCACCACAGTATACAACTACTAGCGTAGTCATATCACAAAACCGATTGCTTTTCAAAAAAAAAAAAACAGCTTACAAAACCTCTCAAATGCACGTTGAAAACCCCAATTTGTTTCACAGGTGACAGTCGCAGTGCTAAACACGTTTTTTTTTCATCCCCTTAAATCCTGAGTTTTTATAGCAAAGAAGTTTCTCATGAAAACACAGTAAAGACTCATAAACTTTCATAGATTGAATGGGGTAGAACACCTCGTGACGACTCCTCACATACAGACAAACATTGAACACAACGAATAATGTGTCACCACTTCACAACATATCACACATTTTTTCCACCAGTAACTTCAACTCGTTTCGTCTCTGCACAGGTTGTAGATTCTACCGCAGAGTTTACAAAGCTGCTAAGATTAACTCTGCCATTAACTCTGCCACTTCTAAAAAAAATTAAGACCATCTTGAAACTTTCAAAAGCAGCGCCCTTCTTCAAACAGACACGGCCTACTTCAGAAGCATACCTTTATTGTTTACTTTTTCACAGAATCAGGCACTTTTCAGTTCCTTTAAAAAAGCATGTCCTCAGGTCTTAGACTCCCTTCCCCTCACTTCCACTGAAAATATGACAAGTGCGCGGGTTGTAGGCTTCAAAATCTGATTACAAAAACATTTTCTAACAAATAAAATTATTGTAGAGCTTAATTCTCTACAGTCCGTTGCAAAAAGCATCCTTCGACAAAAGTAGAGAGATGAGTTGTAAAGGAGAGAGCAAGAGAAAAACACTACAACTGTAAAAAAAATGCCGCTTTTAGCGACTTTGCTGAAACGGTTGTAACCTTTCAACCCCAAACACTGTATCTCGAAGATTCCGTTCCATACGTTGCTTCAGCCGACACGTTGGTGTTGTCAACGTCGGCGCTGCTAAAAGAAATGATTTCAATGCGTTTTTAAGACTCTTTTTTATTTGTTCACTTCCGTTTGAAATAGATTTCATAAAAAAATCTAAAAAAAATAAAATTTCACGCCAAATATGCCCTCCCAAAAAATACGAAACATCATTACCCTTTGCAGCCCAATTTTAAAGCCTATACTTTGTGTTCTTCCCGTAGTCTTTTAATGACAATAAACGAAAATAAAACAGCCTGAACTTCCAGGACATGTCTTTTCAAACAACTTTTAAGTGTTTGTAAACTAACATGACAAAATGTATGTTCCTTCACAGCAGGTCATTTTTGACTAAATAAGTGCGATCCTCGCCATTAAGAAGTGAAAATTTAATCCCTGAAGAACTCTACAGAAAAGTAAACGATTACACGTGACATGGTCCTAGAGAATTTCCCGCCTAACCTTTGAAAACAGGTACACTTTGATATCAACTTCAATCGAAACTCATCCATCCAGCTTTGCAACTGCTTTCATACACAATGAAAATGTTTCATAAAATTGAAAGTCCTCTTATAAAGTCTCACAGCGACAAGATGACTGGAAAAAAATCAAGATTTCTGTCTTACGAGAGCTTTAACGCTGAGTTCTTTAGTCATATCTGAGCAGAAGAACACATACCGAGATTCACTCAAAGATTTATAAATAAACGTGAGGCAAAAAATAAAAGATCTCAAATACACAGATATCACATATCACTTCCACAACTTTTTGATAGACATATTTTTCTCCGAGTCTTTCTGCATCACCTGAAAGAGCTGCTCTCATGAAAATTAAAAATTTGTCACTCGAGAGGAAAACAATAAATTTACAATCCCCAAGATACCACATTTTGATTCTAAACACAAAGAACAAAAGAAATATTTGAGAAACAGCGAAAGAATGAAGAAGGCTTACTTTTCCAACTGCCATTTCAAAATCCTCTTGTGTAACATGAATGCGCCTCTCCCGCAGTGCAAACATCCCAGCCTCAGTACATACGGCTTTAACCTGAAATTGAGAAATTTCCTAACATTTAGCACTTTCTCCAACAGATGCGGAACCATTATGCAAAATACATGCTTCTGAGTGAGTTAGTGCTGCAACCTACTTCAGCTCCACTAGCACCAGGAATAGCTTCAGCAATTTTTCGCATATTTATTCCTCGCATCAAATTCATTTTTCGCGAATGGATTTTCAAAATGTCAGCTCGTGCTTTCTCATCAGGTGCAGGAAATTCAATTTTACGGTCGATTCTTCCTAAATGTCTTGAATTATATCCAATTTCCTCTAATTAACTGAAAAATATGGACTACAACAGCTGGATACAAGTAGATCAGAATAGGATAACATTACCTGGACGAAGTAAAGCTGGGTCAAGGATATCGATCCTATTAGTCGCCATAATTACTTTTATGTTTTTAGTTGCTTCAAAACCATCAAGCTGATTAAGCAATTCAAGCATCGTTCTTTGAACTTCAGAATCACCTGAAGCCAGAAGTTGAAAAAGACTCAGGACGTTACAATCATCGCGGAACGTAGTTTCAAAAAGAAAGCGTTCTCATTCACATAAAATAAACAACCTCCACTGCTGCCTTCAACACGAGATGATCCGATCGAGTCAATCTCATCCATAAAAATGATAGAAGGCGCATGCTCACGCGCCATTACAAACAACTCGCGCACCATCCTTGCACCTTCACCTATGAATTTCTGAACCAGTTCCGAACCAGAAACCCTAATGAATGTGCACTCGGTGTGATGTGCCACTGCACGAGCAAGTAAGGTTTTCCCCGTTCCAGGAGGTCCAAAAAGCAACACTCCCTAAAAACCACCTTTTCACTTTCAAAGCTGGTATGGAAACGAGGTACTGACATGGTAGAAAAAGTACCCCGTCCAGAATTCTCAAGTTTAGTAAACTAAGTCGTGAAAAATGACGGTAAAAAGAACACTCCAATAAAAGGAAGTTGCCTAAA